GAAAAATGATCTTGCCCCATCCCCAATACATATGGCTACTATACAAAGAATTTGAGTAACTGTCTTGTTTATAAAATAGGCTGTGCAAATATTAAATTTGGACTGGATTGTTGGGCATTATTGGCCAGTCATCATAATAATCTATTAATATTGATTTTAACCAATAAAAAAGGCCAGTAGTTTGTATAAGAGAAGATTCAGACCCACTCAATAAATAGGTCTAGCAGACCATGGCAGCCTTCTCCATGAATAAAAACGAAAAAAAAAAAAAAAAAAACAATAAATAATAAAAATTGATTTGGGTAAAGTTTCCAGTGAGTTGTAAAACCCTCCACATGTCTACAGTATTTAAGCTCCATTTTACCTTGCTTAATTTCACTGAACTTGTGTGTTTACCATCTATAGATTATTGGTTAGTGATGCATCTCCTGGACCGCGGCACCAATAGATCAATACGTTTCCGCAAAAAAGTTAAGTGCCGATTACTGCTGGGGGAAATGGCGCTATTACTGAAAGATAAGCTAATCAATGCTAATGTAAAGAGCCAACAATTAGCCTGTTAGCTTATTGCATCTACTGTTGAGACATTATCTGTCCAGCTAACAAGAACGCTGCATTCAAGTAAAACAGTGCAAATGGAAGAATAATGTTTAATTTAAATATATTATCATATTTTTATTAAGAAAAGCAATGAACTAATTTTGAGCTTGAAACTGCCACAAAACGCATTAAGTTTTCAATGTGCCCTCAAGCTAAAGCTAAATACTTAATACACAGAGACATATTCTTGCAACAGTATAACACAATAAAAGACACAAATTAATTTTGGCTTGGCGTTCCAGTGCTAATTTTTATTCTAATCACCGCTAGCAAAGGATAGTCTAGTTAAAATGTTCGAGCATCTGTATACTTTTCATAAGTTTGCTTTCATTTAGTTTATAACTCGCGTAAAAAATATGAAAACATCGCAAATAAAGTTAGAGAAATTATTGGGCGGATAATGTGAGATTGCCCATCTGGTGAACGCGCTTTGAAATCAGTTGTAAAGTGAACAGAGGTGTGTAACATGGACCCAGGAAAACCGTCTGTTTACGAGGCATAACCGAAATAAATCAGATTTAGAGTAAAAAAAAAAAAGTGAATTTGAAAACGTCTGTCTGCGCGTTTATTGAATTATTAGTGATGTGTCTGGAACAAAACGTACCACCGTGTCACCTCTGGTTTCCATCTGCTGTTCGGAGAGAGAAGACAAAACAAAACAAAAAAAAGCCAGCGATTGCGATGCTTCGAGGTGCAAACTATCACAGAGGCAGGCTATTACAGGTGAACTGATGCTTCGGGGTGTTTGTGCATTGCCACGGCAACGATTATCGCCCCTGTCAATCAACACGGTGACAGGGGAAAGATGGAGGATGGGGATAATAGTTATAATCTGTAGGATATCAAACAGGGAGAGTCCATGAGAACGCTGCTTGGTGAGTGTGATCAAAATACAAAGTGACAAGGTGCCTGGAAAGTTGGCAGTGCAATCCCCACTCGCTGATGTTGTGTCCTTGGGCAAGAACTGTGGTGACATGACAAGGTGAAGAGCTAATTGCTGTAAAGAGCACCTCAAGAAACAATGCTTTTTTTTGGAAGTTGTGATTGAACATTTCAATTCAAATTCTAATAGTGTTGAGGTTGTGTTGTGGCCATATCTGCATTTTTATAGATTTTTATTTTATTCAATAGCTCCTATTTATCGTCAGGACTATGGGGGAGAATAATCATTTAAAACTGCACCAAGCCCAGCACTGTGCAGAGTCTGAATTTCTCCAAGGACAGTAATTAAATATACTTTCCAATAGTCATATTTAGTAACAGGAAACGCTAATAGTGTTAAACCAAAATGCAGTACAAGTCCTTCAGTGATTGTCTTGAAGGGATTCCTGTGAGCTTTAAGACATGTTATAATGTTGTCACCTCATCTAAAACATACCTGGAGTTGTGTTTTCTTTCATTGTTTTGAGTAATCCTTAATTATTATTCTGTCTGCCACCTTGTGATGTCATAACGTTAACAACTACCTTTAACCTTTAGTTCAGTAGAGATTGGCAATTCCAGGTCTGAAATAATCCAAATGATTCTAGTGAAGGTGTATTGTAAAAAAAACACAGTGGTTATGCTAGTGAGTGAAACAAAACAACTCCAGGTATGTTTTTGATGAGAAAACAACATTAGACAAGAAAATTGCGTAGTACAGGTCCTTTAATGCGGTCAGGGAATGTAACGTGGGAAGCAAGATGGACTATTACACTGTAGTATTGCAATACACACAATCTGTGGGTTTACTTTCCACTGTTGTTTTCAGGTTTGACACGACGCCAAATGTAGTTATTGGCATCCACATAAAAGCAGATCATCTTTGGGCTTAAGAGATAATCCCGTCAGTTTGCAATCACAGGAAAGGCTTCGGGGAGTGTAGCGTTTAGCGGCTCTGACTTTGCTCCTGTCTACTCCTCCGTACAGAACCAAAACAAAAAGGCGTCCATGATCCTTGAGCTGTCCATAGCTTTTACTGTCATCTTTATAGAGGCAGGAGTGGCCTGTGTTTTTGCTTCTCCTCTCGTGCTCATGAAAACTGCTTCCATTCCAGCCACATCTCCTCAGCTGTCAAAGATCATTTGTTTGATGCTCTGCGCGCTGTCATTCACTCGCGCATACACAGACCGGAGTGGTACGAGGCTTTTGTTCTTTTAGCTGTTTAGATTACCCTTGGCTCTCAGATTCGCCCTTTATTTCATCGCCAACAATAGACGCGATTTCTCTTAAAACGCAGATTCGACTGGACACGGACCAAGACCGGGACACTGAATGGGACTAAAGGGAATATATGGGCTCTTATATAGGAGGTTTAAGAGCGTTAGTGCGTGAGTTATTGCAGAGTAGCCATTACTGTTACGTACAAACTGGAAGCAGCTCCGGACTGAGGGCTCGATGTTGGACCCTCCGAAGGATGCAACTTCTCCAAGCTGGCGGGGGATCTGGATGGAGTCGTGCAGGAGGAGGCCCAGGCGGCGTTGGTCACAGAAGCCCGTCGCACTGGCCACTTGGCGGAAAAGGACTGCACACAAAAGGATAGTAAGAGACTTAGCAGAAGAAAGAAGTTAGAAAAAAAATATGACCAAAAACTATTGCTAGTTCAGAACATTTTGTGGATAGTATCCTTGAGCCATGCACTTCTGTTCACTATCCGTATTAAGACTTTGCAAACTTAGTACAAAAGACAATAAGCTGGGAGAGCCAGTGTTACAATACTAAAATTTCAAACTGGATTTTAAAATTAAGGAAAAGAATCAGTACTCAATACTTAAACCCAATACTGACCGATACCGCAATTATAATAATACACACTCTTTATTTAGACAATAGAATGTCATTTTCAACATTATATCATAGTACATTTTTTTATGTGGTCTTATGTCTTATCTTACATCTATAATAAAAATTGTCGAGACAGAGGGACATTACTACATTGAGATAATAATTCCAAGATATTTTGTGAACACTATCATAACTACATTTTAATAAAGGGTTAGAGTTAGATTTAGAGCTGTAATTAGTGTAGTTATAATGAAATGTGACCAATATTTTGAATAATTAGCATTTCAACATCTCATAATCTTTTGTACTGCACATTTACATTAATTAAAAGTTCTTAAAATGTTATTTTCTTACATCTGTACTTATCCTCCAGATGAGCCTTGCAGAGTGAGATGATCCCCGTTTTGAATGACAGCGTTCTTATCTTCCCAGTGCGGGTTCTGTAAAAAACAACACAATGCATTTTACCAACACAAAATGAGTTGATTTATAGATTTTCGTCTCTCCTTGCTGATAACGTACGTGTCGTAGACGTTGAGCAGCCAGTTGAGGCACATATCCACACACAGCGGGACGTTGACCAGGTGGGAGTGGGTCTGCTCCAGCCGCTGGTACAGACTGGTAAGACAGGTGACCAGCTGAGAGATGTCCAGCAGCTGCTCGTTCTGCTTCAGGCCGTGCTGATCAAACACCTCGCATGCTGTGGGCATGCCCAGGAGGTCCACTGCACGGGCAAAATGAAATGAAGATCAGTTATAATTAGCTTAAGTTTGGGACAAGGACTTAAACTCGTACACGCGTCTTCTTGCTTCGATACTAAAATTTCAAAGGTTATTTAGATACTAAGGAATTCACTCGATACTCAATACTGATTATGATACCACAATGAAGATAAGAAATGCTCCTTTTTTAGTAACAGAATGCAGTTTTCATATACAAAACAATAGTACTTTCATCTTGTTACCGTTATGGGATATTATACTTGTTCTGATACAGCTCAAAATCATACTAAAACAGTTCAGGAAAGCTCAAATTATGTCCTGTTAATGTGATTTCTTTGAAGTATCGATACTTGCTTAAATAAGTATCTAGTTCCAGTAGTAGTTTTAATATAGATTTGAATCTGACTGGGGGCAAGAGACAGTTTTCGCTACTGATAATATTGTATTTTGCCATGAAATATCCAAAAGGCAAATTCACAAGTGGTACCTGAGTGACTAAACCCAAAACCTACTATATTACAACAAAAATCAGATTTGTGACATTAATTTTAATACTGAATACTTTTAGAATGACCTCGAGTTGTGTCAGAACAAGTATAAGACCACAAAGATTAGTATACACCCCTGAACCACTATGGAACCTACCTGGGCCACTGAGGGATTACACAGATAAATGATAATATAAAAACTACTATGATTTAATATTGAAAATCACATTCTATTATCTAAATAAAGAATGTTTTTAATTATCATTGTGATATCGGAATCAAGTATTGAGTCTATTCCTTAGTATCAAAATCGAGTTTTTAGTATCCTGATAACATTATATTGAACACTGGTACTGCTATTCTTGCTTAAAGACAAATCATCTAATATATTCATTGTAAATTTTCGCCAGTCCATCAATTCAATCATTTTACTTCTCCCTGAGGGGCAATTAAAACATGCTCCACAGAGTGATTATAGGAGAGATTTGAGCTGACAATGTTTTGTTTACAATATGATAAGAACACAAAGCCCCCTACATTTCCACTAAACTCCATCAATAAAATACATAATTAAAGTGATTATAATGGACTTGCTTCTCACGGGGCTTTTGTTGGCTGCGTGTGGTGTCCTTCGGCGACGAGGACAGAGTGGAGAAGACGCGTTCACACCAGAGATCAATAAAGAGCGCCATTATTCATCTTTATCTCTCATTAAGTCCAGTAAAGGACGCAGCCAGAGGACAGTGGTGCGTTAACTGCACTCAAAGGCCAGACGCTCCTCTGCTGACGCCCGCACGCAAATACCATCGAATCTAGGAAATGGCGAAGCACTTCTGACTATTTACTACAAATATTAATTCCAACTGGACACGGTCTAATGAGGACAGGCTCGCGCTGTTGTGCTTAAAAGCTCCAAGTTTGAGAATCAACATGGTGAAAGGCAAAATAAAGAAGTTTTTAGCTCAACTTGAAATAATGAGGATGTGGAATGCTGTTGTGGGACAGATGGAGGGTCATTAATCTTAATGAAAGAGAGTTTAAATGATTGGGAATTATGATCTGAAAATTCAATGAGGATTATTCCTATCAGTTTAACAAAATCCTTTTCCTATAATGTAATAATAATGCCTTAAACATATATTGTGCTTACAGATTTGTTGAAGCTTCTCACAAAGTGCTACACTATTGTCATTTGTTCTTCACTCCAGAGTTGGTGGTGGTAAGATACTTCTGTAGCCACATCTGCCCTGGGTAGCCTGACAAAAGCAAAGCTGCCAATCTGGACTATCAACTACTTCAACCACCAAAAATCACTCGTACATATACCACATTCATGCCAGGCAAGGTGAGAGATGTGTCTTGCCTAAGGACACAATGACAGAACTAGTTTCAAACAGGATTCAAACTTCCAACTTTCAAGTTTGTGGATGAGTGCTCCAACCACTGAGCAAATGAGCAGTGTTTTAGCTGTGTAGACAGTAACTGAAGCAAACTAAATGTAGAAGCTGTATCAGCTGTATGAGAAATGCATGCATCCACATCACCACCTGCTTTCATAGGACAACAAGCAACTGTTTTCAAATCCAAGTCTTTGACCCACAGCATATGGGAAATTAAGTTGTATTATTTGATATGTTTAAATTGAACTAGTTCCACAGTATGTCTTGCAATTATATCTAAATCTTGCATCCAAAAAACCTGCTCTGGGTGCACACTATAATTCTACAGCTTCCTCCTCTGTGAATAGTTCATGTTAATGTATCATATTTCTACCAAACAAACAACAATAGTGAGCTTTGCAGTGAGTCAGAGAGACGCATGAGCTCCTTGCACTCACTTAACCTGGGTTAATAACTAAACCTCTCTGTGTATTCTTGCTCTGTTGCCTCGGCCTTGTAAGCAGCGGCTGGGGCTAGCACTTCAAACGTAAACATGAAGAAGCTGAATTTGTGGGCGGTCCAAAACAACATAAAAGGCCAGAGTAAACACGCATATGGACACGCGCGAAGAAGTAGGAGCTAGGCGCTAGGAGCTAGGGGGCAGGAGCTAGGAAACACTCCGAGGAGGAAGTGAAGGGTAGAACAAGGACCCTACGACCAAATGAGGTGAATAAAAGAGGAGACGGAAAAGAGAAGGAACAAAAGGAAGAGTGTAGGAGTGCACTGGAACACAATCAAACACCAGCACTTGAACTGAGTAGAGTGTGCTCTGGTCTACGGGTGATAATACAGGTATATGTACTTACAGCAAAGGGCTTTTTGAAGACGGCGGAGCTTCATCGCCGTGCGGTACGCCGAGAAACGCACGTTGTTGAGATCGGCTGCAGGAGGGACGAGAAGAAGAGATCAGACCAGGCAGGAGACAGAGAGAGTGGGTTAGCTAGCAAAGATCTACATGAACTCTACTGGGTGATACAAAAGTGGAGCCAACTGGGTTTTTATGGAGGTTTTTATACAAGTAGGCCAGGGGAGAAAGAAAGAGCAGATCAATATAGCAGTGGGCGATGGCTGCTGGGGCTTCCAAGTGTGTGCGTCACTAATGCACTATATTTAAGGTTGTCACAGAGAGAACGAGCTAAAAGAGAAGTGGATTTTTGGATCGTTTTTTTAAATTTGACATTAAAAGGTTCACAGTGTTAGTTTCTAGTGAAGGGAATGCCATCTGCTTGTCTCCATGGATATGTTATTGCTTTGCCTAGATAGTTTTACAGTTTGGCATTAAACTTATCTAACTTGCATTACATTAACAAGCTGGTTTATTGGTAAAAAAAACAAATGTATCCTTAAATGACTTGATTAAATGTGGGAGACTAGGCTGTTTTGTATAGGAAAAGAGACAAAGTAGTTCAGCATGTTGCATTGAATATATTCAATGTACTTAATGTATGCTCTTGTACTTGTTTTCAGTGTTAGTTTTCTAGTGGAGGGACTGCCATCTGCTTGTCTCCATACGTATGTTTTTGCTTTGCCGAAAATGTTTCACAGTATGGCATTAAACTGATCTAACATTACATTAACAAGTTAGTTTATTGCTAAAAAGAAACGTATCCTTAAATGACTTGATGAAATGTGAGAGAAAAGACTATTTTCGTTGGGAAAGGGTCAGAGTTCAGAGACAAAGTAGTTCAGTACGCCCACTAAAGTCAATATAAATATATCCAATGTACTTCTGATGCTAATGAAGCTGGAATGAACTAGCTTTAGAGACCTACAGGCACTTTTGTTTGTTAACATTAAAAGTCTGTACATGAGAAAAAACATTGGGGTCAGAAGATAAAATGTCTTAACAGAACACTTTCTTTCACACTGAATGGTAATCAAATGCCTGTATAGCTACCTACTTTTTTTTGGATTACAAAACTTCAATATTTTTTCTGCAGATGTACAAAACTAAATCATTAAAGAGTCCATGTTACACTATTTTCTGGTCTATGTTATAATGTTGTTTTCTCATCAAAAACATGTTGTGTTTTGTTTTATTCACACATGTTTAACACACAAACCCTAAGGAGTTCTTCTCCCAAACAGAAAACACTGTTCCACCTTGTGATGCCATGTGGTCCTGCGTTTTAAACTCCATTCATCTTCACTAGAAACATTTGGATAATTTTAGCCCTGGAACTGCCAGTCTCTACTGAACAGAAGGTAAAAGGTAGCGGTTAACTTGAAAACTACTGCTTAATGACATCACAAGGTGGAACAGAGCTTTGGAGATGTAGACAGACAAATAATAATAATGAAGGATTACACACACAACTCAAACGTGTGAATAAAACAAAACACAAAAACATAACTCCAGGCATTATAACAAGTCTAAAAGATCCCAAGAATCCTTTTTGTATAATATAGGACCTTTAAATTATTATATTCAAATTGATTACACTTTACATAATATAGTTAGTAATACAGTAATAATACAGTGCAGTTTAAGTTCATGGGAGGTCTTGTTCTTACCCAGAGACTGGTAGAGCTCTGCCATCTTGGGATGGTCCCAGCATGTTGTCTGGGTCTGGTGACTGCGGAGAAGAGAGGAGACACAAACTTTAGACACAGGTCAATTGAGCTGTCAGGTTCAATCTCCTCCATCTTTAGTAATGTTCTCCCAAAATACACCTTTGACATTGCACAAGGAAAGGAGGGTTCACTACACGCCCAACTCTGCTTTTTAATCTTTTCAAAGCAATGGAAGGATTTGAAAGTTAAACAGTGGAAAAGATTATAATTTTAAACACACAAGATAAATATGACATCATCTGCCTCTCAGCGGTGTAGAAAAACAAAATTATAATCTTTTTTTGCAAAGAAAATTAGATCAGTCTCCCAAAATCTGACACTGTGACATTAATCCCAGCTGTTGGATTTCGGAGCCTTTATTCATAATCTCGGAAAATAACAAGTCGCTTTGGTGTTCCAGTTTGCCGGTCCCTTGCACCGCGGCAGAAGATGATGGGAGGATGAGGGGGGGTTGGGCGCGTGCTGTGTCATTGTGGTCTTTTTCGTGACTGCCGCATGCCACTCAAGAGACAAAACCCCAGAGTGTGAAGATTTTTTCATTTGCAACAATATCGAAGTGATGACAATATTTGGTTGCCGTGGTTCCAAGTGTGAAACTGTTTTTTCGGGGGGTTCGAATCGGGCGTATTGTGAGCATGTCTAGGAGGAGACTGGCACTAATTAAACAGGATAACCCAATTTGACCTTTAGAAGAAGAATAACACATTTGGAATAACCTCTAATAATGTACAAATACAGGAAAAAGACAAAAATGCTTTAATGGACAGAGCTGCGTAAGCAAGCCACAGGGCCTAAAGCTACTAGGCCCCAATTAACCTCTCTTCATGCTATTCTATACCTGATGTTTACGATGTCATTATAGTCAGATTTCAGTGTCTGTTAGTAGGATTTAGAATGATAAGATGGTCTTGAAGTATTGAAGAACAAGAAACAATATGTGTGTGAGTGGGTAGAGAAGATGAACCAAATTGCTATGATGCTTTAGTTTGTTTGAGTTTGTTTTTCTTTGATGACTAGTAGAGATAGCCTGATATCAACCAATATAATCAGGTAAATATTTGGAGTTTTTACCCCATCAGCTATCGGCCTTAAATCTCCAGCATGGGCCAATATTTTGTTTGGGCCAACCAGTTGCATAAAAGAACACACACAAAGCTTTTTTTGAACACTTCAGCTCCGAAAAGTGCACTGCAAAAAATTGGATTACACAGCTCTCTTACAGGTCTGTGGTAAAAAGGGTGAGTTTGTAGTACATTTAAATGACAGAATATAGGGAAAATAATCAAAATTGGCTCAACACAACATCAGCCCAAAAGCATCGGCAGAGCTTATCGGCCATCGGTTTCTCTGGATTCTAAACAATCGGTATCTGCGTTTGCATATTAAAAAAAACCCTATCGGACGAGCTCTAATGACTGGGGCAGCAATGTTTAATTGAGTGGAAAGCAATACATATTTTACAACCAATGTCATAATTAAAAAGCAGATAAACTGAAATTTGTGAGGCAAAATTAAAGGTGCGCTATGTAACCTTTCTTGTGGAGTGTCCATCACCTGCTTGTCTGAGATGTCATGGGTTTGCCTTGGAATGTAGTAGGCTATAGTTTTTAACTTATGTAACTGCAAAACTAAACAAAAAAAGCTCCTGTAATCTGCAAAAAAAAAAAAAAAAGAAAAAAAAAGAAAAATTAATAGATAAGGCTAATGCTAATGCCATACTGTTGAAATGAAGGCAAAGCAGTAACATCTCTATGGTGATAGACTCCTCTACTAGAAAGAGTTACATAATGCACCTTTAACAAAACTGCACTGCATAGCATAGAAGTGTGTTCATATAAAACACATATCCACTAAAACAACATCTACATTCTAAAGTAGAGCTGAACTGTACAAACTTGCGAAAATTACCACTGCTTGTGTTGCCATGGCGGCCACACAGCTTGTCAAAAGGCCCAACTGTGCGTAAATGGACGACATTTTTCCAACAAACACTCCAAATGTCTTGATTTTGATTGACTTACAAAGCCTATACCCAGCGGGCACATTTTTCTATACTCAACCAGCCTGCTTCAAGGGCCGCACAATGTCAGCTTGCGTATTCTCAATTAAATTAACACAAATCAGTTCACACAGCGCGGTGCTTATATTCTTGCTTAACGCTTGGCTGCTAGCTTCTGTCCAATGGTACACTACAGCCTTGACCTTGAAGCGAGCGGATATAAAAACCCCCATTACGTAAAACTGTATCCTCAATATATAATAATACGTTTTCCTTGCTGACTCCATTAGCCTGAGAGCCAGCGTTTAGCTAACTAGCGCTATGATCGACTGGCTACATTAGCATTTCAGGGCATTCTCAACAACACCCACTCTGATTTGAAAAGCCATCAAGAAAATATTAAAAGTTAGCTAATATGTGACCGTGGCTAATTGCGTTACTGTATAGAAGTGCCGATTTTTCCTCGCCATTAGTGCTACTCAGACATAATTATGGTATGGGCAGTTAATTTCTGCTGCATAAATAACAAAACATGACCGTACTAAAGAAGTTAAGGGAACAGGGTTTAACATTATGAGTTGAGACGCTGCAGCTCGGCGGTGATGGGCCAGATGTCAGTTTACATAAAGCTAATGGGAGACTCGTGTCGTACTAAAGAGGCAATTAAAGTTTTCTGTTCGGATCAAGGGTATGAAAAGAGCTTCGCGGGAAACCAAGACTGCTCTGGTTCAATGGCTTCACATGGGCTGCAGGCTGCTACGGGGTGGTTTGGAGGACGGAGATGAGATAGGAGAAGTTTGCGTGGTGATACAAATGTAAGGTAAGGTTACTACTTACAAAGTCTGTTTGGTTATAACTGGCCAATTTTGCAAACATGGACTCTAATCTAAAATCCAAACATGTCAAAACTTAGCATTAGCTGGTTTAAAGGTCCTATATTACACAAAATTGACTCTTGTGAGCTTTAAGACATGTTATAATGTTGTTACTCAAAAACGTACCTGGATTTGTGTTTGTTTCCTTCACACATGCTTGAGTAATCCTTTATTATTAGTCTGTTTACATCTCCAAAGTCTGAAATGCTCTGTTCCACCTTGTGATGTCATGAAGCCGTAGTTTTTAAGTTAACAGCTCCTTTTACCTTTGTTGAGTAGATATGGGCAATTTCAGAGCTGAAATTCTCCAAGTGAAGGCGTATGGAGTTAAAAAATACAGTGGAGCACTTCCTGTATTACCACATGACATCATAAGGTGGAGTGTTTTCTGTCTGAGAAAATAGCATAATATGGGCCCTTTAATATATGTATCTATTTATCTAATTCTGCTGCGAATTATAAGTTATTATAAGTCTATTGTCTGGTAGTCATCTGAAGTAAAGCTGCACAACATCACAGTCAAATTGAAATCACAATTTTAAATGTTGTAATTAGCATATCACAAAGACTGCAATCATATACAATAATAAAATCATCTGTAAACAAGTAAATCACTTTTTTATTTAACCCTGTACTTTTTATTTTGTACTGAATTGAGAAAGGCAAAGTTGCAAATCACAATTCAATCTGAAGTATGATAGAACAGCCTAGGGCCTTCTTAAAAAGTACAATTGATTCTAATATTCTGCTTAAAGTCAATACAAGCAAAGCTAATTTTGTGATACATGTACAGCGTTTGTATAAATTGGCTGGAAACTGTACAATTTTGCACAGAGGCCTAGTCTGTTGTCTTAGAAATAACAACCCATGGAAGCAGATACGACTGGCTTTAAAGTTCTTCAAAAATAAACTTTCTGGTTGACATTTCTAGACCATCACATGAAAGCACATTTCAGCGTAAACTATATTCCACATTCGGTCGATAAACCCTAAAAACCTTGTAAATACTTGGCTTGGCGTGTCTCCGTTTCCAAATGCTGCCTTGTTAAAAGCACACACGCAGAGCCGCTCTCTCACTCGCTCACCTGCAGCTAACCTTTGTCTACACAACACACACGCAATGAATACAACTTTGGGTTTTTCTTTTCTTTTCCTGGCTGTTCAGCCTCTCCCTCAGCCCGCTACCACACTCCCACTCCAGATAATGAGACGAGGAGTCCCGTGGAGAAGCGCTACTTAAAAAATCTCAAAGCAACAGTCAACACTAGTAGCTCGTTGCAGCCACTTGGACGAATGCTTATAATAATAACAGAAAGTAGCTAAGGGGGCCTTCTCAATTTTGGTGTTTTAGAGCGCCCGTATTACGCCATTTTCTGATCTGTGTTATAATGTTGTTTCCTCGTCAGAAACATAGCCGGAGTTGTGTTTTGTTTCATTCACACATGAAGCACAGAATCCCTGTGTATTTAGAATGAGTTCCTCTCTCAAATGGAAAACACTCTGTTCCACCCTGTGGTGTCATGTGGCAATAAAGGACATGCTCCACTGTGTTTTTAAACTCCACACACCTTCACTAAAATCATTTGGATGATTTCAACAGTGGAATTGCCAATCTCTACTGAACTAAATGTAAAAGTCTGTTGAAAATTACCCCTAAATGACATCACAAGGTGGAACAGAGTATTTTGAGAGTTGGAGATGTAGACACTCCAGGTATGTTTTTGAGGAGGTAACAACAACAATGTCTTAAAGGTGCATTACGTAAGTTTTTGGTTGGGGTCTGTCACCTGCTTCCTTCTTAGTAAAACATGTATCCTGACTGTGAGTCAGAATACATGTGAGTATGTTTTTGAGGAGGTAACAACATTTTAACATGTCTTAAAGGTGCATTACGTAAGTTTTTGGTTGAGGTCCGTCACCTGCTTCCTTCTTAGTAAAACATGTATTCTGACTGTGAGTGGGGTTGCCTCTCCACAGATCTGACCTGTAACTTGGTCTGGTCTGGCCTCCATTAAGATAGAAAGATTTAATACGATACCATACTGTGAAAAATTCCACATGAAGCACTAACATCTCCACGGAGAAAAGCATTTGATGAACCCTCGACCAGAAAAGTTACACAATGCAT